AATTATTAATAGTGCAATTAAATGCCAATGGGTTTTTTTCCATGTTGATTTTTGATACTAATGAATGCATATGTCATTTTTAGTGTTCTTGAGTTGAATTGGCCATGTGTTTGTGCCATTGTTTCATTATTGAGGCATGATTTTCTTTTCTTCTTTTCGTTCGTGGCTTATTTTTGTAGTTCATTAATACATTCGTTTTGAGTTTACTTAAAGTATGTGGTTATTCAGTATTAACAATAACTCATAGTTTTTGTGTCAATGAAAAAAATAATAATCTTTTGTTTTAGAAGAGATAAATTGGGTTTCTATTTCGGAGAGAAGGATTTGATAAAGAGTATTTGTAAGTATTTTCCTATAAGTACTAGGAGGAAGCTTAGAGGCTTCATTGCTGAGTATTGTGTTTCTCTCATGCTCCCTCTCTCTTTGTATCTCTCCCCCGCTCTCTGCCTCACACACTCCCAAAGCACTAACACTCCCCCCCCCCCCCAAAAAAAAAAAAAAAAACCCCACACAACAATACATCACACAATCACACACTTTTACACAAATCACAGTCATATGTAGAAACACAACCATATTTATAGCATTTTATTAATTGTAGGATTATTTTGATGAAATTTGAGTGTTGGATTTTGTTCATGTTAGGGTTTTGTGTGTTTCGATCTAATTGAATGTTAAGATTTTGTTAATGGTATGAAATTGGGTGTTAATTTCATGAAATTTGGATGAAACTGAAATTAGTGTGTGGGTATGGAATTTGATTTTGTATTGCCTTTTAGGAGTTTTTGTGCACAGTTACTTGCTCATTACAAGGAGTGAATCGTTTAGGAGTTTTTGTGCTCAGTTACTTGCTCATTACAAGGAGCGAATCTCTTTTTTTTTTCCTGTTTATCGAATCTCTCTTTTTTGCACATCCTTTCTCGTGGACTTAATTATCAAATTTGTGAGAGTTTATAAATTGTTCCTTTTATTGCTTTATTGACTCTCTAAAAAATAGTAGACTAGCTTGATTTCAATTTCTTATATTAAAACAAATGAAGTAAAAACTATTTTAAATTGACAGTTTATTTTAGGTGGCAAAGTGTCTTCATATTTTTGAGTTTTAATTTAATTTTTCGTAACACCGTGCCTTCAGAGACGGACAATTACTAATTATTGAATAAGATTGAGGAGAAGTGTGAGATCAGTATCACTCCAAAATTCAAACCTACTCTTTGAAAACTAAACTTCAACAGCAATTCAAATTGTTTGATCTTGACAACTTTGGGGATCCATAACACATTTATGTTTTATTTTTTGGTTCAATGGTCAGGGTGTTCGGGTCTACTTACGTGTATCACGACTAATCTCCTCTTTATTTCAATTGAAGACAGGTCATTCATACCGAGAATAGGATATTCATGAAAAATAAATCGCTAATGATTTAACTCGGGGGTTGTCAAAATCCAAATTTATGACACAAATAATTGTTGATGACTATTATACATACACATAAGACAAATCTTTCTTAATTTTGGGGGGATCCATAACACAAATTATCCAAGTTATCTGCAATGTATCCTCCATATAAATGTACCAACACGAGTCATTGGAAAAATCAGTGTTACGTCAAACATCTCAAATTCATTAGGTGGAACCATTCATTTTCCGCAAATATCTATTCAATCTTTTCTCATATAACGCAAATAAGTTGGATAGGTACATAGCATTTTTTTTTCCCTTCCAACAGTTACAAAAAGGCTAAACACATCATTTGGGGTCATTACTCCATATAATACTCACGACCTATTGATACTTGACACACAACATGGGTCCTTACACCTTGTCCTACGTGAATATACTGGATCTTTGAATCTTGAAATTACATTAAGTGTAAATTTATAATTGATTTAAGATAAAGTTCACTCACATTCCCTGAAAAATAGTCTAATTATAGGGACTATCTTTATAATTTTTAAAATATCACTGTCACCCCTTATAGTTTATAAGTCCATTTCACATACTGCTCTAAAGGATAGTAGTGGACCAGATAAAAATAGGAATTCGTCCAAATCGGTCCTGTTTGGACCGCAGATGGACTATATGTATTGAACGGTAGACGTATACGAAAATACTTGTATACACCCCTGCGAAAATGAAGGCAAGGATGGAGTAACACTTACTCCCACCCCTTCCCGCCCCCCCCCCCCCCCCCCCCC